GGGAGAAGCAGCAGCTTCCCTTCTGGTGGCAGCTCGTGAGAGGCACGGGGGTGCAGCCCCTCCAGGAACCCTCCTGTCCCACCAGCAGCGTGGGAGGCCTCTGGGCAAGGCCACCGGGAAAGTCACGCAGAGAAGTCTGGTCCCAGCGTCCCGCGCAGACAGGGCAGGAACCACGCCAGGCTGCGTTGTGTCCCCCGTTCAACCTTTGACGATGGAAGGTTATTTTCTCTCTTCCTCACAACGCCGCACCGACAGAGCTTCTGCCCCCGCTGTGGTTCCTCCTCCCCACCTAACGCACGGCCAGGCAAGATCAAGAGAGGGGCGGCCGGCAGCAGGCAGGGCCAAGAGCGATCCCAGTCGGGAATCTCTTCAGGGATATCCCAGCAGCGAGGATGACACAAGCAACAGAGGCCACGTGCCTTCCTCGTGAACGGCTGCAAAACTTCACCCCGCGGAGCACGAGGGCACGGCGCAGCCACGGCAGAGACAGGGATGACTGCGGTTTGGCTCAGGCCCAGGCTGGGAGGGGGTGAACACACGGTGTAGCCAGCAGCGGGGGTCCCTACCTCGACAGGCGCGGCTGCACCTCGCAAGCGCTGCCCATGCTGAAGGTCTGGAAGCGAGTTAGTGGCTGATTTTGTAAGACAACAACCGAGTGTGGAAGTGTGAAGGTAGTGTTAGTCCGTCCAGGTCGCTCTGCACCAGCTGCCCGCGGAGGGGTGAGGACGTGGGGGGGACAAGGCCACCGGTGAAGGCGGCAGGAGGCTGCAGGGCCCCGAGGCGAGCCGCGGCCTCGTGCTTCTCTTCAATCCAAGAACAGAGAGAGACGGAAAGTGGGGGGCAAGGGAGGGAAACAAAAGGAGAGGAGGTTCCTCGTGTCTCCTGTTTTCATCCGAGCGGAGCCCTGGGGCTCCAGCCCACTGTCCGTGGGGGACGACCAGCTCTAGTTCTACTTTTGGCTGTTGTAAGCTTTGTGCCTCTGGTTCATGGGGTTTTCTGGAGACTTCATCCACTCCTTCTTGAGGAGCTGCTTGAGCTGGGACAGGCGCATGTTGGGGTTCTCTTGCTTCAGGCGTGGCAGATTGACCTCTTCAAAAGCTGTGAAGGCAGCTTTCATCCGGCGCTCGGGGTGCCGGTCCAGATCATTGGCAACGCTGCCGGGAGGGAATTCAGAGAGAGAGAGACGCGCATCAGAGACGCCTCCCGCAGGCACCAGCCACTCGCCCCGCTCTGATCCCCTGTCAGCGCAACCAAGTGCGTACAGAACAACTTGGGCGATAAAGCGGAAAACCCCGTGATACTTCCCCTACCCACTTCAAACACTCTCTACAGAACAACAGGGCAGGGGACGTGTCCTGTTCTTGCTGTCAAGATTAGAAAGTCCCAGCCAAAGCGTAAAAGGAAGCCAGTTCTGGGGGAGGGAGTGTCTGCCTGCAAGAATTTCTCGTAAGGAGAGCGACACCTTCAAAGGAGAGTGCTGCTGTGGTATGGCCACGTACCTGAGGACAGCAATGGCATCTTCAATCGTCCTGGCCTCCACCGATCCTTCCTCCAGTACCCTTCTGTTGATGTTCTCTTCCAAGGGGACCTCCAAGTGAGTCTTCTCCTTCTCCACTGCACAGGGAGGGGGGGAAAAGGGAGAACCTTTAACGTCGAATCCAGCCTGTGCAAAACCCTCAGAAGAGGGATTGCAAAGCACTCTGAAGAAAGTGCTGAGAAAACTCAGCCAGAGCGCAGTCCCAGTCCTGGAAGAGAAGAGTTGCCGGCTCTGTTTCTCCACCTTAGCGCAGTCCCAGTCCTGGAAGAGAAGAGTTGCCTGCTCTGCGGCTCTGTTTCTCCACCTCAAGGTGACAGGAGGTTTCTTTTTCCCCCCGTTTGGGTGTTAGACACAGACATGGCAAAGCACGCAGCTGCGGGCAGCTCCAGCTTTCCAGACACCTCGTCCTTCAGCGACAGTAGGTGGAAAAGGAACAGCCCCACTTCCCGCTCCCCAGGGCCTTTCTGTGGCGCCACCAAACCTGTATCTGCGTTCTCCTTCTGCTGCTGGTCTTTCCTGATCGTCTCCTCGATCTGGGCCCTGGTGACTTTGCCCGGAGTGACCTGCTTGGGCGACTTCCCTTTCAGCTTCGAGTCTTCCTCCTCCAGCAGGCGCTGCAGCTCCTTCTTGCGCTCCAGCTGCTCCAGCCGCCGCTTCTCCTTCTCTTCCTGGAACAGAGAAAGGACCAGGTCACCTCCAGCCTTACGCCTTCGTAAGGCAGAGGGGTCCAACTATCCCTTACAGGAGCAGGGAACCCCGCTTGAACAGGAACAGGCACCTCACTTCTGTAGCTAATGCAGCACTGACCTCACCTTATCAGAGGAGACATCGGCCCCGACCTCCAGTGAGACAGCGAGAGCCTGGCCTGTCCCTTCAGAATTATAATTCCCCCGTCCCTGCCCCATCTGCAGCCACGCGCTGGCTCCCCGGGATGTCAGTACTGCGAAACACAACCCTGCTGTCAAGAAGGAGCGGGAGGCACCAGCCAGGAACGCTGACAATCAGATTAAGTTTTCCACTTTAATTTTAATAAGTGGTCGGAGGTTGAAAGTTCAGCCGTTGTTTGAGACAAGCCAGTCAAGAGGCTGAATTCGTCCTCAGGTCTGGCTTTGCTAAGAGCCAAGGCAGGCGGTCAGACCGAATCCAACGATCAATGCAGCTCTTGCGGTAATTTTAAAGTGCTTCACAAGTTTAAGAGCCACTTTGCCCTCCAAGGCCCAGGGAAGAGGGTGACAAGACCATGCAACAGGCCCTCAGGGGCTTTCAGCGCTTTGGCTTCCAGGTTTGGGTTTGTTTTTTCCCTCCTCTCCCAAAGCCTGGAAGGTCTGGCAAAAAGAAAACAACAAGTGAACATCTCTGTCTGGGGCAGCGTCACATGCTGCAAAGCACTTTGTGTTTAGGTTAGTTACATGGACACTTAATTATGGCTCTCATCCATTATTCACAGGGATGGCACAACGAAGGGATCGAGCGCTAACGGAACAGGTTTGCTCAAAGGCAGCTGCACAGCAAAAGCACCCCAGCAGTAACGCAACCCGCTGCCCTCACCGGTGTTTGAGGAGTAGGAGCAGAATTAGGCACGCTGGGGTAGGGCCCGCTCCAGAGACGGTAAGCAAGGCTGGAGTTTGAGGTTCTACTCAACACAAAAAAAAATAATGCAAGTCGCTCCACAGCTCAAGGGTTTAAAGAAAAACCCATCAAAACCCAGAATCAAAGCCCACAAATATGGAATCAAAACATGCCCTTGGGCTGCTGCTGCTTCTGTCGAGTGCAGCAAGGACCAGGCCTTTCAACCTGGCTGGGAAGGGAAGGGAAGCCTTGCCTACCTCCGCTCCAAGCAGCTGGGACCAAGGATGGGAAAAAAGCCATTAGAGGGATGAAGCCTTTATTACAACTGGCAGGCTTCAAATTCTTGGTTATTAAGCACTTAGTGCCAGTGCCTTGAGACACAATGCCCTGGCAACTGGACCGTGCGTGATTTCAAAGTGCAAACTCATTTATTTAAGACATCGGCTTTCCCTGCCCGCTGCTTTCCTGTCAGGCCTCTCCCTCTTCTAGTAAAGGTTGAGTAAACAAATGCATTTGGTCTCTCAGATTAGGAAGGATTTTGGCCACTCCTAGAACAGGAAGGCTGTCACGCAAGGAGGGGGAAGACTGTCTTACCCCCCCCTAAAAATTTATTCACAGGGATATACCTGAGCAAGAGCAGCCGCAGGGGCTTTGCCCACCTTCACTCAGCGCAGGGCAGCTCCAGGTGGATCTCTGGCTCAACCACCAGCCTCTGCTTGGGCATCAGGCAATTTTAAGGAAGAATGCAGGAGAAACCCCAAAACTGGAGAGATTAATGCGCCAAAAGAGGACAGCCACAGAAATCACTGAAGGTCCGGCAGTCGGAGAGAGCAAGCCGCTTAATTAGATGTAAAGCAGATGCAAGGGAAGCAGCAGTGCGTATCGCGCCTAGAGCATGGGGTAGTGCAAAGGAACTGTCCCCCGACTGCTCGTCCCATCTCAGAAGCTCAGGGGGGTTGAACAAGGTAACCCCAAGGTGGTGCTGGCATGGCGAGCACCTCCGCAAGGCTGCAGGCATGGCTGTGGCTTGAATAATTCAGGAGACAGATAAGGAGTGGATACACAAGTAGTATTGACCTAAGGGAAGGGAGCAAGACATTTCAGAACCAAAATGTTATTTATGGTTAGAGAAGATTACCTTTTACCCCTGTTTATTAGAGAAAGGGAACTGTCCCACAAGGCAGCTAGCTCAGCAGCCTGTCTCACAGCACGCGGCCCCAGCCAGGACGACGACACGTCCGACAGAGCAGAAATTCAAAGATAAAGCTCTGCTGCCATTAGCTCCTTTCAAACCAAACTCTCCGAAGAGAACATATCCACTTGGCGAAGGGGAAACAGAGGCGCAAGCAGGGCGCAGAGCCTTCCTCCTGCACCGCGTGACGCAGGGGACCTCCCGTCACTCCTCTCCCCCAGCTGCCGGGGTGAGCTACTCCCTGCTCTCTGGCATTTACAGTGGAGTTTCTATTTGTGGTAAGTAAATAAGCTGGCACTGTTACTAATTTGTCACAAGACCTGCAAAACCTACACGCTCCGGTTTCCCCAGCAGCCCGTCACGTCCAGGTCTGCTCTGCACCTTCCACGGTGCTCACAGCAGCAGCTCTGACCCGCCCACCGATCCCAAAGCTATCGTTTTTGAAGGTTTTTCTCAGGTTGGGCCCAACCAAATTAATCCTTCACGAATCAGCTTGAACATCCTGAGGAAAGAGAGGCTTGGATTTGCCCAGGTGAAACGTACCGCTAAGCTATTAGAAAACCAGAAAGGAAATGAATAATTTTCTTCCTCAACGTCGCTGCACTCCGCAGGGCGCTAGGAGGAGCAGGGCGTGAGATTTCTTTAGCTGGACACTCCCGCTCCCAAGGATTTGTGTGTTAAAAAATGAGTTTCCAGCCTTGCAAAGAACTACCTGAGCAAGGAACAATTAATTAGCTTTCAGAACAGCTTCCCACCTGCTCGACAGAAGAACAAGGTCCCACGCACATGGCTTTGAGAGCAAGCGGTCAATTGAAGCAGCAGCGTTCCCAATCAACCTCTTGGCGTGAGGCCCCGAGGAAGGCTGGAGAGCGTGCCGCCAGCCTGGCAAAGCACGCCACTTCTCGCACGGCAGAGGGGCAAAGCAATGCAAAAAAAAAAATAAGTAAATAAAAAGACGCAGTGGGAAAGCGAGCGGGGTATAACTGACCTGGAGCATGTCTACGTGCTCACTGGGCTACCTGAGGTACAGCAGAGCTTTGAGACGGGATCAAACGCACCCCTTCCATTGCCCACCGGCACACAAAGCATCGAAGGGATACTAGAGCCTGAGGAAGTTGGTTCTGGGCTCTGAAGCCCAGCCTAGTCTCATCAGGTGTCTCTCCACTGCATCTCTGCCTCCTGCATTGTTCATTCAAGCCATCAGATTTCAGCACAGCGTACTTGGTGCCATGCAGATGTCCTCCGAAGAGGGGAGAACAGTCATCTGACCCATCTTGCATTTTATCTGAATAAGAGCTGGTGCTCACAGCTGAGTAATTCTCCACTGAATCAGAGGAGGAGGGGGAAGAGAAAGTCACCACTCGCCTGCCTGCAACACCACTGCAGCTGGGACCCGCCGGTACAGAGCCTGCCAGCCCACACCCTGTGACCGAGGCTAACGGGAAGAAGAAAAGCGTAAAACTTGCACCAAAAGAGCCACTGCTCCCTCGCGCCCCATCTGCGCTCCCCTAGCACACGTACTCACCCTGCATTTAACTCGAAGCTTTCCCCAGACCCTTTCTGCACAAGTACAAAGTGTCTCCTCGCTCCCACATGATCCGCACGCCCACCCTTTGCCATTCCCACGGAGGGCACCGAGCAAAGCCGCGGGAGAGACCTCCGCAGGACAGTGCTGCCGACACCCCGGGCAGAGAGAAGGGTGCTGAGGGGCTTTGAGTCGCTGCTGCACAGCAAGGAGAACTGCTGTCCCAGCATACAGACACTCAGCAAACAGAGCCCAGGCAAAATACAGCCTGAATGGGGAGAGGGGCTTGCCCTCCCTCAGCCAGACAGCCCCGGTGGGAGTTTGGGAAGGAGATTGGGAATTTGGCTGCGTACCCACAGGGCGCAAAGCGGCTAAACCCAAGGTTGCCAGAGAGAAGAAGGTCTGACTCCCGCTGCGAGACCTCTGCCCTTGCCAGATCCTCCACTGGTCCTTCCTGCCCATAAGGCTCCAGCCAAAATAATGGTTTGTCACCCTTCCAAGCCTGCCCGCAGCCTCACCCAGGATGCCCAGGCGTCTGTGGCTGTTCCACCACCAGACACACTTTAGCTAATTGCACAGGGAAAACCACGCTGCGATCAGGCTGACGAGGAGCGCTGTGCCCCGAGCTGCAGTCTAACCTTGCGTAGGAAGGGTGGGTAGGGACAGGAAGGATGACAATACCCGAATGTTGGAAGAAAAGCAGTTACCCAGGTAAAACTCTGAGTCTTCCAGCAAGAAGGATGGCGATTTTGTGCTTTCCAGCCAGAGCTCTCCAGGGACGGTAACAAGCTGTGACTTGTGCTGAAGTGCCAGAGGAGGAATACACACATTGCAGGCCGCTGATATTAGCTCAGATGTTCCTTTATGCATCACAGAGCCGCCAAACGAGTGTCATCCTCCGTTAGCAGAGAACAGCTCCGAGGGCTGCTTGCAGAGCAGGGGGGTGGCATTTAAAGAAACCCCAAACACAGCAAAAGCAAACAACAGGACAGTCGTCTGGTGACAGTGAATCTCATGACAGCAGGCACTGTGTTTGTTCAGCTTCCCTACGCCCAAGTATTAACACTGACATGCACCGCTGCCCCAGCAGCGAGACCCCCAGATTGCCAGGGAGAGCCACCAAACCCCAGAACAGAAACAGAGCTCTGCACTTTCACTTATGTCATTGAGGCTCCAGTGGTCATCTGGGGCGGGGGGGGGGCTGGCAAGGGGTTAAAAGGAGCACATGGGGTTTGGTCTCAGCATGTCCCAGAGGCTTTCAGCCACTCCTGCCTTCGGGTGGTGCAGGAATTCAGAGGTGCATGCAGCTGCGGTGCCATTAATGTGTTACTGCCATCGCCCGGAGAGCCGGGGAAGAGCTGTACGAGCTGCACAGCGCTGACTGCGAGGTGCTGAGAGCACCCTCCTACACACACCACCGTCCCCTCCCCGGGGTGCTGTCGCTGAGAGCAACGCGCATCCCTCCTGCAGCATATGGCCATGGCCGGCAGCGCTATTTCCATGCCAGCACCACCCGCGAAACAGCTACTTCTCCGGGGAAGTTTGACTCCTGTGAAAGGTTTGGTTTCTGTCCTCTCTAGGACGGGGACAGAAAGTCATTTACAATCTGAGTCACACATCCTTTCCCTAACAGGATGCGACAGGGCAAAGGCAGCTTCTTCCCTGCTCCGTGGGGATATTCCAGCCTTTGCTCAGGTTGTGGCAGAGCCTGCGTGAGGCTCCCGCAGCAGGCGGAGCCCCTGTGTGGGTGCAGTTAAGCTCAGGGTCCTTCTGGCAGGTGAGCTCCCATGTAAGCGGAGACTTTTGCTGCTGTGAGCTGCAAGGTCCCTGGGGAAGACGGGGGGGGACACCTTGTGGGAAGCAAATGCACTGAACCACAGCATTTGGGTGAAATTCCAACCTAGAGACTATGGCCATGCTGATGCAGGAGAGGGGACGGCTGAGGTGCCAAGTGGAAACCGCCTCACTGGTTTCAATAAAACCCAGTCTGAGGCTCTGTGATGGATCCTGGTTTTCCAGTTCGCAATTCCGACTCACAACACAGCTCCCCTCTCCCAGACTCCCATGTCTGCAGGAAGCTGTTTGGGAAGCCCAGTCAAATAGGTCGCTGTTGGCCAAGTCTTAAGTAGAGCAATAATAAGTCCTTGTTCCAGGAAGTAATTAGGCAGCGTTACAGGATCGCGTTGGGGAACAGCACACAGGACTCCTAATTCCAGCTGTCAAGACACATATTAGGGGTGAACTCACGCAGCCGTACGCAGCACGCAGCTATGGAGGTCACGGGGACGCGCTGGCTTCCTGCCTGCCTGGCCAGCGTGCTCAAGTGCCGACATGCAGAGTTCAGTAAACACCGAATTCGGAGCAGCACAAACCCAGTAACCCCATAAATCCCATTTACGTCATCAGCAGGAGCCCTGTCTGGTTGGCAGGAGGTAAATAAATTGTTTCAGAAGAGGGGCAGCTAAGTTATCACTAACAACTGTTTCTAAAAAAATCCACAAAACCAGAAGGCAGATTTGTCTAAGGCTGATGCAGGACAACGTTAAAACCCAAATAACCCAGAAATGGGCACTGAAGTGCTCTGGTTTCTGAACAGTGAGGGCTAACGAGCACCCAGGGCAGAGCAAAGGCAAAGCGGAGAGAATTTTTTGAGAGAGACATGCCCCAATGTGTGACACACCAAGCTAGGGAGGAAAATAAAAAAGCTTTGCAACCCTTAACCCTGCTGATTTCTTTTTCCTTCTGCAAAAAGCAAAGAAAAGTTAAGAAAGGAAAAGAAAGAAAAAAAGCTGAAGAACTGTTTGATCAAAAATCAAGCCCTGCAGCAGAGTTCCTGATCTTTTACTTAATTTTAAAGGATTCCAAGAATGAAGCTTTTACTGCCTCCCTCGGGAAGGCAGCTCTGAGATCCACCAGATTTCTGAATTACACATCAAAGCTTACACTTACTCCCACACTCAGCTTCTTTTAGCTCCCGGAGAAGCCGCTAGTTCCAGCTCCTCTGCCCAAAACTAAGCACAGGACAACGTGTACAGAGACGGCTACAGCTGGGGGGCAGGGGAGGACAAGCAACCCTTTCTGAGCAAGCCTGGATCTCCTGGGCTTAGCAAAGGACCGGCTAGAAGATACCCTTCTACCTGACTAGCCATTCACCTTCCTTTGCTCCTTTCTCATCACGTGTTTGTCTTCATCCTTCCAGTAGGCATCTTCCAGCTCCTGCTGCCGTTTGGCATCGGCTGCTGCCTTTGCCTCAGCTTTCCTTGCGCGGGCAGCAGCCGACTTGGTATTTTCACCTTGGAACTTCTTGGGCATCACTCAAGGTGCTCTGTGGAGAAGAAAAGACCTTCAGATCCTTGTCCTTGGGTTCACTGTCACCCCAGGAAGCAGGAACAGCAGGAGCTCACACCATGAAAATCCCCGTTTTAGCCTCATACTATTTCGAGATCCTGGGCAGAACAGATCTAGTAATCTCCCAGCTGACACAGGAGAAACCCTGCTCGCTCCGCCCCAGATCCTCAGCGGGGAAAAGTCCCTCCGCCTATTCATCGGGCTGCAACGACGTGACAAATTGGGCTGCTGGGTTCCTGGTGCCCAGTCAAAAGCACCACTGCCCCGCAAGCCAAACACTCTGCTGCCGAGTCAAAACGACACCGGCTGCTTTCATTCCGCACTGGCAGGCTCCGAGGGGAATTCCCTGCTGCCAGCAGGGAAGGATGAAGCAGCATGAACGCTGTGTCGTGCCCTCTGACTGTATGGGAACACAGCCCTGCGGCCCCATTTAACTTGGATAAGCAGCCGTGCTGCATTAATTTCCCCCACATCGTCAGGATAGGAAAAGTCCCAAAAGCCAGGCACAACCGAAGCCTCAAAATCAATTAGGCACTGATAAAGGGCCTTGTCCTCCGCACGCTGCCCATGCAGATGCCACGTTCTGGATCCTCAATCTTCACTTTTAATGGCAGATAACTACTCACTAAACAAGAAGCCACAGAGAAGGGCTGATGTTTAGGGCTGGCTGCTCGAGTCCCAAGCTTTACAAAGCCTGGGCTGGCTTAAATCCCTTCTCCTCTCCTTGCTCTGACCCTTCCTGAAGAGCGCGAGCTGGGCTGGGCCCCGGGCGAGGCTGCGGGCCAGCACAAGGGCGGTGGGAGGGCGAGGGAGGCCTCCCCCACCCCGGGGGCTGCTCCGAAGGGCCC